TGTGTGTGTGTGTGTGTGTGTGTGTGTGTCTAAATGGATGCCCTGCCCAGACAATCTTGCCTTGCAGGTTCGTGTCTCTGCATTCAAATTTGTGGTTGACAAGTCGGAAAATGTAGGGCGTCAGCACAACGATGCGCACATCAGTGAGGAGTGGTGGAGTAATAGTAAAAGTGGCTCTGATGATAACCTAATGGCCCATTCACCTTTATTAACGGCTGTGCGAGCCGGATCGTGTGCTTGGGTTCAACCACCAGCAACCCCCCCCTTCCGATGCTCACTAACGAACTGGGGAGAATAAGCTCATAACGGGAGCCACTAATTGACTCCCCGGCTAAATGAGTCCCACTTTAAGCCACGCGAGGCTTCAACACACTCCAGCTCAGCGGAGGACGCGGATGTCGTCGATGACACACAACCTGCTCCGTGTTCGCTCACTCGCGCGCTACAATCTCACTGGCAGCCACTTATTAATATCTCCCTTTCAAATGCTAATTCCCCTTCATGCATAAATCATAACTCCAGAGGTGGCTGGTATAGCATGATTGGGGGGGGTGCAATGCTGGCAGTCCAAACCTGCCTGTAGAAATGAATGGGACTCATCCCACACAGCTTGCATGAACAACAGAAACTAAGTCTCCTAACTTGTTTTTTGCTCGAACAAGCTCACAAATTCTATACCTCCCACAGCCTCGGCATCAAGCTGCAACATCCACAAACATGCCATAAGTCGAGATCCACATCTGCCCACCAGCGTGAGCGAACGTTCACCCTCAAACGCTCCCATTCGTGAGGGAACATTTGTTGCAGGATGGACTTGCAGGGCTTGTTTCGCACCACGGGCGGAGAGATTCGCACATCAGCTCACCGGGGCTCAGTTTGACGAAGAGGGGTCAGTGACCCCTGACACTGAGGTGAACACTGTGGGCTTCTCAGAACATCTGGAAAATCAACTGAAACCACTGTGGATGCATGGGACAACAGCTGATGGACGAGTGGATATTGTGATATTTACATCTTAAGAAGTCTTTTGAAGTTGACTGTAAAGTTTAACTTTAAATGTATCATTTAAAGTTAAACTTTAAATGATAAATGACTAGTTATGGATGCAAGAATCAACAGGTCTGATTAAATGTCTTTTTTTTTCTTTAGTGTAATTGTTTTTGATTCAGGGGCAGCAATGAGACATGAATATGATTTTGAAGGATGGGTGATTTTCTCAGATTGATTCATCTTTGCTCCTCAAAGACTGCTGCCCTGCTCCCCACTCGTTCTCCCCCCCCACGTGATGCCCCACGCGCTCTCGTCCATGCACGGTCACCTACCTGCCAGGAGCTGGAGGGGATCTCTGCGAATTTGCCCAGTCCCCCGAAGGTGTAGCAGCGGTACATGTGATCCAGAGACTCCGAGCAGTGCCACAGCAAGCCGAAGCTCACGGAGTCCTTGTTGTTGTGGTGGTGCTGGTGGTGCTGGTTGTGTTGGTGGTTGTTGTTGTTGTTCCTCAGCTGGTCCTTAACAATCCAGGCAGGGGATATGAAGCTGAAACTGCACACGGCGACCAGAGCGGAGGAGAGGAGCACCCAGAAGCAGCCCACGCAGCTGAACATGGTGGCAGCTTGGGGCAGAAAGCCCGGAGACAGACCCAGATCGATCCCGAACCCGGCTTCTTCTTCTTTCTTCTCCCGGGCCAGGAGCGAATGCATTTGGAGCGCAACGCCTTCAAGAGCAGGACTTCAACTTCAGCCCCCTGAGCAGCACTACATCAGTAAAGAAATCACTGGACATCCGCAGCGGCGTGTGTGTGTGAGTGTGTGTGTCCAGAACATCTGGTCTGGACAGACAAACCACTAATGAAACGTCCAGAACACATCAGCAGGAGTGGTGGCGATACAATAAAAAAAGTCAAGTCATCCGCGTCTCCACTCAGCCTGGATAAAAAAAAGACCAAATCTGAAGCACTCACACATGCATGCGCGAGATTGTTGTCACACCCAAAACTGTATGCGCAGTTGTCATACCGGTGCAGGTGGAGGAGCAGTTAAATGAACCCCCCCCCGCCCCCCACCACGGACACGAACAAGTCCCGGAGCCGCAGGTCTCCTCAGTGTGAGCGGTACTTGTGCTGCTCTGCCTCAAGACGGACAACAGCGCACTTTGCGTTTCAGAAAAGAGTGCGTCTGGACAACGTCAAGTTCGCGAAGGTTAAAAACTACTTCCGGGTGTGATTTTCAAAATAGAATTCAGAGCGACGACGCGCAGCAAGGTTTGAGGCAGTGCTCTATCGTAGAGCACTTACAGCAAAAACGAGGACTACATTTATATAATAGCAACTAAAAGGCCACGACACCGTTTTTTACAAATAACTTAGTTACCTCGCCATGACGAGGAGGCTACTTCTCAGTCATAACCTGTGTTCTGTTGCTCTGAAGGAGCTTTTTAAAAGTCTGACAAAATACTTCTGAGGATGTCATCAAATTATGCTATATTGGTTGCATTGTGGGAAGTGTAGGATCCAGCTGTTTTCCGGAGCTTGACCCCCAAATTTATTTCTATTTGACAGTATTGTTTATTGTTTTCTCAGTCTATTTAAAATTGTGTTTTATTATGAGTAGATATTATTGTGTGGGTTATTCTATAGTTTTCACTGTGGACTTTTATTTTGTCCCCATGTCATGGAGCACTTGGACCAAAGACATTTCCACGTCTGAGATAATAAAGTTGATCTAAATCTGAAGTTAGGTCATATAGTTTCTATTTTAATGTCTCTCTCGTGAGTCCTCCACCTTTATTGACTTGCTATACTGAATCGCTGGAGTACCTCTTTAAATTAACATGTATATGTTATCATTATGTCTCTTTTAGGCCACGCATCTTTCACAATGTATCATGGAGATGGACATACCTACTACGTACTCAATCAACAGTGACACCAAAAACTTTTATTCTGAAGGCAAATACTCACTCTTCCGGTGTTTTGCACATCTCTTCTTTAACCTGACAGATTAGGCGTCTAGTCGCAGGTACTTGTCCAAATGCACCTTGCTCCCATTATGCGCATTGATACGGCGTTCATTAAGACCGCGAGAGATACCGTTTTAATAAAAACAGAAAAATAACTTTTTCATTTAACGTTTTTTAATCTGAATGAATTGTTATACTCTGCAGAACAGATACTTCTCAGCATCGACATGTACAGAAGAAGTGATTACTGTTTTCATTGTTGCGCTGTCTGGGCCAGTCACTTATTGTAACAGCATCTCAGCCAATCAGAGCTCAGGATGGGGAGTGCCCGTTTGTATTGAGGTGGGCGTTGCCCCTGCACGTGCAGGTAGCTTTCAGTCTAAAGCTCGTGGGGTTTCAAGCAACATTTTGCTAAACGCGGTGACAGAGCATATTGCTATTGTGCTAATCTGTGTGTAAAATGTGAACACCTCCAATTAGCTTTAGCAGTAGGCTAATTTTGGCTTTGAAATATACACAATGTTATCGAATTTAATTACTTTTTAACAATGTTTAGGTTCTTGCAAAGCTGATATTTCTGCACTTTCATTATATTTCACACAGTTAAACGAAACTACATTTTAAATACGTTCTACTATACTAAAGGTGACTTCTGTGCCCTTTAGGATGAACTGTACTTTACAATTTGTGGATTTTTCTTGACCTTAAGAGAAGCCGGAGCATTATTGTTGTCAGAAACAATATTCCGTGTCGTCAATGTCCTTATTTTCTGTTTTACCCCAACATCTCAACGCAGCCAACACTGCCCCCAGCTGGTCAGAGGTGATAATGGTTCACCCTTAAACTGTTGTCACTTCTCCCACAATTCAACTGTTCTGAAAATGATTTTAAAAAAGAAAAATGTCCCTGTAAACATAAGACTATCAAAATAACCAAAACAGTTGGCTGTAACTTCATAAATATACAAACACTGAAATAGAACAAAAAAAGACAGACAGACAAACATTTCATAATATATGTATTTAAATCAAACACAATTTAAATATATTATAGATTAAGTACACATACATACATGTCAGAAAACATTAGTGGTACATAGTACCAAGAGTCTTTTCTGGTTCTTTTCCACATCTTCGTAAAGCTATAAAGAAATAATTATTTAAAAAAAAAAAAAAAAAATGGTTTTATTCACTGAGCACACTTTCCAGTTGAACAGTCCGGTCATCACTGACGTTTGTTTCAGAGATGCATTAAAAAAAAAAAAAAATTTAAAAAAACTGCGATCACAATAAAAAAAGGACTAACATTAATATATGGGGTAAACCAGAAATCTACATTTAGCACATGGAGTTTGGAGTTTTCCGACACAACTGGAGCACTTCAGTTCATATGGGGAGTATTTCTTCTTCTACGCTCTGTGCAGGGAGGTTCATATAGGAGGCCAGCCAGTCCGAGGACCAAGTCGTCTGTTCTTCCATTTCATTGTCACATTTCCAAAAATCTTCTACAGTACGGAAAATAAACAGCCACGAGTTAGGGCAGCTCACGTCAGCGAACAGCGGGCAACACTACTCCGGGCGGGCTGAGGGAAGAAGCGCGAGCCAAAAACTGTGCAACGCTGACTTTCATCCACTTGAGCCTTACGTGGCTGACCCTAACTAAAGAACTTCATCTTAAAAAAAAACAAAACAAGGAATGGTTTTAAAAAGGAGGCGTGTCATGAGGGAGTGAGGGTAATGCAGTCTTTGTCACGTCCTCCGTAGGTCCTCTTCCACACCGACGTGCTGCTTCTTCCAGTGTGTGCTGTAACGCTTCCTCTCTTCAGGAGTGACTTCTTCTCGACTGATCCGCTTTACCTTTGGTCGACTACACGTGTACCTTTGTAGTGTTATGGAGTTGGAAGATTGGAAGGATGGAGTACTTTTCACCCCCATTAGTCCAATACCTGAACAACCACAGGGGGGAGGGGGAG